ATAGTGCATTTATAATCTTATTTTTATTTGGTGACCTTTAGATGGCGCTTAACCGCTCCGTCTTAGATCGTCTTATAAACAAATGTATATGTTTGTGATTACAAACTAAGCAGCGTCACCTGGTCCTTGGCGCGACTCTCTCTGTCTCGGATATGAGACGTCACAATTCTCTCAGTTTCCTCGCGCAGCCTTGGGAAACATTCCAGCTGAAAACACATCACACATCATACTAAACACCCTTTTTTAATTCTTTTTAATTGCAGCTTTTTTTCATGAATCCATCTATTATCACCCATTATCTCCTTCTTTTCATCATCCTTCCCTTCATCTTCCAGATCAAACTTACACATTCCCATATATATCCCATGACTCACCTTGTTGGAGCACTGGCGCACTGTGTTAATCAGCTCCTGGATGACCATGTCCACACACTTTATGCAGGGCTCCTTCAGCTTTATGACTTGCTTCTTCACAATGGCCTCGAACGCCATGTCGGGGGTGAAGAGTCCAGTCCTGAAACACACCAAGAGGTGAGAAAAAAGTAAAAACATTGATGAAAAGCATTGACTTTTTATTAGCTGTTTCTGCAGTACTGGTTTTAGCTCCAAAACTATCCCGGCTTTAAAGTCGTTTATTCATGTGATAAAATGGCCGTTAAAGACCTGTTATTGCTTTAAGAGTGAATTAAAGCTTAAATGTACTGTATCTTTAAAAGTCTACTCCTCTCTCGCTTGGGTGGCAATTTCTTTGGTTGCCCTGGCTAACCGCTGCAGAATCAATATAGCAACACACGGAGAGGTTGATCTGAGTGTAAAAAAAGAAAGAAGGAAAGACGATATGCTCCTCCCTTATTCATAAATCCCCTTCCAAACCAAACTGTGTATTCTTGGGCTGTTGGGGAACCAAATTTACGGATCTGTATTTTTATTTTGTTTTTCTGTTATGATGTTTACCACACCAGTGGATATGGAAATCTATTCTGGTCAGGTTTTATAAATAATTAAATTTAAACTTGTTTAGAGACTAGAGGCAGAAATGTATGTGGGGTGATCACTGATGAGTCAAATAATTTGAGGAACGTGAGTCTATTATAGAAAAACATATAAAAAAAGGTTTAACAAATAGACAGGTACTACTTTTGGCAAGAAGAGAATGTGGCTGTATGGCAAATAACAAATTCCTACCTGATACCATGGATGTTCTTGATGGCGTAACTGATCTCGCGTCGCATCTCCTTATCATCACACTCCATCTGAGGGGAACAGAGAGAAACATTTTCATTGGTGAATACAGAAAAAAATTAAGTGGCAAAGTACTTAAAACATGAACAATAGTATGACAGAAAGCATGAGTCAGGCATATATGATGATTATAAAATAAGGAAAGATAAGAAAATGGTGTGAAAAGCTGTATTTGATAATTGTGAAGCTATTTTAGGATCCTTCAAGAGAAAATCACAATAAAGAGAAAAATATCGACCAATTTTATGTGCGAGGAGTTTGAAAGGGATTAGAACAATAAAGAAAGCAATCGAGGAAACAGTTTTCAAAACACGTCTTGGAAGCTCATTTAGTCTAGTGTTCAGCTTTCAAGATGCATTTTTCATAAACTAGACCAAAACCTTCTAAATGGAGGTGTCATTACCCTTCGAGTCTGAGTCTGAATCAGAATTTTGTCTCAATCTTGACTTATGACACAGAAGTGTAGCTGCCATTGAGGACACTTAAATCTTAAAAATAAAATTAGACATGGTAGGATTGCAGTAAATCACTGGTATATTTACATTACAGCATTGGATTCATGACCTTGTTTCAATAACCAGCCTATGAACACAGTTAGAGGGTAAAAAAGCCATTTGTACTTGAAACTGATCCAATAATTGCACCTAATTAGAGTTTTTCGTTTTTTTACAGTGCCATCTTATTTAAAGGTCAATATTTCACCTTGACCAGTTCAAAGGGGAAACGCTCATGGAAGATGCGGTTGATTTTAGCTCCACCCGACAGCTCCACTGTGTCCACCTGGTCTCCTGAACCCTCAATCCTCTTATCAAAGTCCACAGAGAACTGCTGCACCATCCTGAAACACAACACATGAAAACAATCAGATACAAACATCTAAAATATAAACTGAATAGGAAGCAAATGAATAGCAATAGAAAGAAATTCACATTTCCTGTAGAACTGCATCTAATGTAAATGATCTTGCTGTGGGAAAAATGGGGTACTGACTGCAACAGCTGCTTGGTTTTACGAGACGGGTCATCAGGTCGGTATCCACGGTATTCCTCGGCCTCCTTGTCCAGAGCTAACAGCTGGGACTGCAGCTTGCTGCGGAAAGCTGGCAGGGTGTCCCGGATGTGGTTGGTCAGTTGCTATGGCGACACAAAGGCCACAAGGTAAAACAAGTTTAAACCACATATAGAGCCACTGATATATAGATAACGTAACTGGTATTTAATAATGAATCCAATTTCACTGTAATCTGAGAAGAAGCCTCATTCATACAATAACAATGCAGAGCGGCCTGACTGAGTGAAATTATAAATTATTTGCAGCTGAACTAGAAAGAGCGAGTGCATTTTCCACCTACTGAAGGTCTTGTATCACCCACACTGATGTATGGTGAAATGGAAGCAAAAAAGAAAAGTAGGCCGCCCTCCTATTAATTATGTAGAGTGCACTGTGCATGGGAAAGCAACAAGGATAATCTATGGTCACCTCGTTGAGCACTCTCTGCAGGCGGGGGGTGCCCATTTTTTCAGCCATGTGCCTGTAACTTGGGTGGGAGAAGAAGAACTTCCTCTCAGCTTCCATCGCTGCCTTTATGTCTTTCTTCCCATCAATGTCCTTCTGACTACGATTCACCACTCCAATGTAACCTGGGAATGAATCAACCACAACACGCGGTGAGAGAAATAATGAATTATTAATGGTAAAAAGGGGGCATGCTTACTGGATACCGTGATGTAACTGAGAATTAAATGTTGTGAAAGAGAAAGAAAAATATAAGATTGTGTCTGGCATGGCTCACTATAGTGTAACGCACACCTCTTCGCAGCGGCAGCAGCTTGTTCTCCAGCACATCTCGGGCATCTGTGCCCTCATCCATCAAATCCAGTTTGGTGATAACTCCAATGGTTCTCATTCCTAGAAAAGTGGTCAAAAAGTTACTTATATATATCATTGATAATTAAATATGTTTGGGTTTTGGATATTAGCGACCTGAAAATTGCATGTGGAAAAATACTTACAGCCACACTGTATATCATAATAAATTAAACATGAAGTATTTATTTTCTGTTAGAGTATATGGACCAAACCAACAGTCTCACTGAAGCACTTACATTTCTCTATCCATTCTCTTATATTCTAATTTTTATCTCATTTTCATTGCCTTAAAGGTTCAGTGTGTAGAATTCAGTGACATCTAGAGGTGAAGTTTCATGTTGAAGCCCCCCCCCCCCCCCCCCCCCCCCGTGTCCTTATCCAACTTTGTGTCCAGCTCATCTTTTAATTCTTTCCCTCTCACCCTAAGCTACATTGTTCTGCTTCTGCCGCATCATCCTTGCCAAGAATCTCAGGCCTTCAGCATCCTCTCTCTCCCTCCTCTATTCCTCAACCTCTCCTTGATGTAATTCATCCCTCCCTCAAGGTGACTTTGTCCGATTCATCCTCTCTGGTGTCCTTCTCTTCAGCCTCATCTCTTAGCCGTTAAATTAAGTGTTTTCCTTCCTCCTCCTTCACTCTCTTCATCATTCCACTACCAGATATCTTGTTCCTTAACCTCACTCTCTCTGTCTCTTTTCTTTCACCTCTTCCAAATGTCCCTCTTATCTTCCATTTTATCTTTTGATGCATGTTGCCCTCGTCCTCCATTTTCCCCTTCTCTCAGCCCCTCATATCTAATAATAATGCGACACTTGATCAGTCCCTGAGGGGAAATTCTGTTTCCACATTCAGAAAGGTCAGTGCACAAGGTCAAACACTTTGCACCATCCCTGTAGCTTATAGAGATTTGGTGTCTTCATGAGGGCAGCACAATAATGATAAGACCACCCTTCATTTAGCCTTTTTTTCTTTGATTCCTCGTTAGACATCCCTCCCACAGGGCCGATTACTCCCTATATCCTTCCTTACACCCACACCCACTCCTTACCCTGGGGGTCAACGTCTTTCGACAGTTTCAGGGCATCAGAGTTGGCCAGGTCAGTGTTGGCTGGAGTGACAGCCAGGATCAAGCAGCTCTCTCTGGTAATGAACTGCATGATCATGTCCCTGATCTGCTGCTCGATGTCTGCAGGCTGGTCTCCCACTGGCACCTTCGTGATCCCCGGTAGATCGATGAGAGTCAGGTTCAGTACTGCACAATCAGAGAAATGTAATGTAAGAACTGAGTGTACCTCTGTGACGTGTCTGTGACCTATTGTTGGTCAAAGGGGGGATCTCCATCATTTCCTTTACATAATCTGTTCATTGTCCCTCCTCAGCAACTCACATACTAGCAAGATTCAAGCTGGTCATTTACTATCAGGTTGCATGATTAAAGTAAAGCAAATTAGCCGATAGCTTAGTTAGTGTCACTTAAGTCATGTTAATGCAAATAGTTGCAAAAATCAAAAGCTATCAATCATGTCAACGGGAAGTCACTGACAAGATTTTCTAATAAGCATTGTTAATAAAACAAACTGGCAACATAATAAACATAGCTAATTAATAACCATCTGCAAATATGACTTTACTTGTGTTTAATTAATGTTTAAGAGTTAGTTAGAAAATGTCAAGTTTTCCTTATATAAACCATTTTAATCTAATCACATTTCAATCAAGTGTTAAGCATGCTTGTGAGTCACCTTGTTCCATTGCTAGCAGGTACATTGAAAGTTAGCTTTCAAAAACTAACTAGCCTCCATGTAAAAATATTGATGTAATGAAACTATCTTTAATTTAATGATACATCTTGGCTTAATATCTATTTTCACTATATCAAGCTGTAGCTGGTGCAGCTGGCTCCAGGGACTGGAACTAGGAAACAGAGGGAATTAGACAGTGTGTGTGAATTAACTGTAAAATTAACTCAATCCTAGAACCTAAATCCTGGTGCAGAAATACCACTTCAGCACCACAGCTCTGCATGACTTGACCAAATAAATATGAAAATGTCCCTCTAAGCATTTTAGGCCTTGTTATTAACTGTCAACTAAAGAATCAATATCATCAATGTATCTCAGCATTTAAAGTTGGATTTTAATTACCTTTCCTATACAAAAATGTTGTTATAAACCAGAAAGTCTATATGCAGCCTCATTTTCAACAGCAAAAAAATCTAAAGCCATCAGTCAGTGGCGAAATGTGTATTAGAATGTGCTATAATCAGTTACATTAACACAGAGCCTTTAAAATATCTCTTAAGCTGCCTCCATTTAATTCCCCACCAACATAAAAAGCTAATTAATTTATCTCACTAGCAAAAGAACATTCTTACTTTCTAACATCCCTGTTTTTAGAAAATTCATACACAGCAAAGTTATTGCTTTCGCACCGTGTGGGGAGTAAACCCGCAGATTGATGGGGACAGGAGATATGCCTTTGTTGGCCCCAGTGACTCGATCTGTCTCCGCCTCGATCTCCTGGCGAACCTCATCGAAGTCTGTGAACTTCTTTCCTTTGCAGTGGAGGAATTCAGCCCATTCTGAGAGGATAAAAACATAGAATGAATAACTGAGATTAGTGGCTGTTCTCCATGAATCTTAGAGGAATATATTGCCACTGCAAGAAGGAAAATGAGCCTGAGAAATAAAACAGTGCCATTTCAAAAATAAAAGGAAGAAGGGGGAGGCTGCATGTGTGGGTGTGTAAATATGCGTGCACCCACCTGCAGTGGCACTGATAAGCTGCAGAACCAGTGGCCTACGGGTGACAATACCAGATCCACGGGGTAGAAAGTCCCTGAGGAAAGACAGCCCGTCATAATGCTTTACGTCAAACCACAGTCAATATAAACATTTATCAAAGGGCATGTAATACAGGTGGCACAATGATATCATAATGACATCCTGATACTCTTGAAGAGCAAATGTCTTAAGATTATACTCTATTCAATGGCGTCCAACGCCTTCAGTGTCATTCATCTATTATGCTGTAAACCTGTTCAATCCACTCTGAGAGGAATAGGGGCCATTTTAAAACACAGCATCTCCTGTAGCTTTCAGCTGCTGCTGCTGCTGCTGCTGCATCCCAGCTCAGCCCAATGTGACCTGATAAACAACAGGTCAAAATGAAGAGCGGCATCATTGACAGGGAGCTCTCTCATTTAAAAAACGATGACCTCACGGTTTTTGCTGGGGCTTGCACACACACAAACTCAGTGTGTGTGTGTTTGTGTGTGTGTGTGTGTGCCGTCACCATTGCCTCCTATGCTACAGGTCCATTTAAAGAAACCTTATTGAGACATATCGACCCTTGTAGCTCCCTCAAGTGGGATGAGTTTAGGAGAAATTCTTCCATTTGTCCATTCAGCACACATGTATGCAGAGTCAGTGTTGGACAGATGGACCATTACTCAGCATTACGACTCTCAGTGACGGCTGAACAGGCCAAAATCAATGCATCCATCTGGAACCATGCATGTGTTTGTCAGAAGTGAACAGCAAATGCACTATTTGGTCACTAAAAAACTCAAACACTGCATCCTACACTCCTCACAAAGCAGCTTACAAGCATCTTTTGAAAATCTTCTATTAAATGTCTTCATCTTTTAAACTACAACAACAATTCTGTCAATCATTTAAGCCTAAATCAAGACAACCCTGATGACATCACAGGTGTTAGATGTCTCCCTCCTGTGCCATAGAAATAATGTCCAGCTGTTTGGTGAGCAGTACTCTGCAAGAGGAGAAAGTTAATATTTATATGTAGTGGCGCTTTAATTTGTAAGATGTTATTTTAATTTTGATTATATCAGAAGGTCGGTGGTTTGAACCCTGGCTCAGTCTGCATGTTAATGTGTCCCTGGCCAAGACACTGAACCCCAAACTGCCCCATCAGTGTGTGAATGAACAACTGACAGAGATGCGCTATAAATAGAAGCACTGGATGAGTGTGTGTGAATGGGTGGACATGTATGCAGTGTCAAGTGCTTTGAGTGGTCATTAAAACTTTTTAAGTGCTATATAAATGTAGTCCATTTACCTTTTAACACTATAACCCTTTTTCTGTTCAGCACAAACAAAATGCTACAAGAGAGTAATATGCTTTTCAGTAAACCTTTAGATTAGTGATTCTCTTACTGTAAGAAAAATGAAGGCCATAATTATATTTATACTTCATTTAAAAGGTCATCTTTGAAACGCTATTAAACAGCATTGAGAAAATCTGGTAGCGTATTATTGAGCAGAAAGTAACTAATTTGCACAAAAAAATGCACAACATACTGTAGCCCTTGGGTATAGATAAATCTATAAACACTGGAATTGATGCAGCCAAAAGAAATCCTGTTTCAGAGTCATCTTGGAAGAAAAAAAATAACCTTAAATGTAGCTGCTAATGATTTATTTGTCTTAAGTGTCCAAAATCCAGGGCGAGATGAATATTCATTTGTGTTTTCAGGAGTGGGAGGTAACACTGCTGCATGCATGATGTGGTTTTAAAATGGCTCCATGCAGAGATGAGTCTTTGCAGTTTGCATTTAAAACACATACAGCAGAAAGGATGCTTGAAAGCTGTAAAGCCATGGATATTTCTAGGACTGTGAAGGAGCCTGGGTGGCACGGATTGGGCTGAAATCCCTGAGGTGCTGCATGCAACCCAAATACCTCTTCTCTCCCCTGTTAGTAGCCGCAAGAAAATGTGTTGTGCCTTTAAAAATCTACACAAAACTGGAGGTCTGCACTCATATCAGGGCACAGCAGCAGTGAGGGGAGATGGTCTGAACCCTGCACAGATTGGCAACTCATAGGCCTCTTATGTCATGCTCGGGGTTAACAGGAGAAGGGATTATCCTATTTCTGGTGGTCAATTTTACCTGCCGACAAAGTTCTCCAGCACGGAGCTCTTCCCTGCGCTCTGGCCTCCGACCACCGCGATCTGCGGCAGGTCCAGGTTGCAGGCCTGGCCAATGGAGCTGAAGGCATCCTGCAGCCGGTTGACCAGTGGGATCAGATCCTCCATGCCACGGTTTCCCATGGTGCCTCGGGACGGAGGGACTCGGAATCAGCGAATGGCGAGAGAGAGGAGAGGACAGAGGAGAGAGAGGATGGTGGGGGTGTGCGCCGCTGCTATATTAGTCCGGGATACCGCGGTGCTTGTTGATGTAGTGAAGTCATCTAGCCGCGCATTGCCCCGAGCCAAGCGAGGGTCGCACCGACTGTGGAAGCAGAGGAGAGGGAGAGGTCGAGAGAAATAGGGAGCAACAGAGGGAGAGGGATGGAGAGAAAGAGGTGCAGAAAAGAGAGCTATGAATACACAATTGCGCACTTGCCACCAGCACCGTGACCCATCTCTCTCTCTCCGTCTCGAACACAAACACACACGCGCGCACACACGCACACAACGAGCAGCACGAAGCCTGTAGAGTTTCAAGGGCATTTGGTGAGTGCAGCTCCATCCATCAGCTCCGCGGACGCAGCTGACAAACCCGTGCGTTCCAGGCTGCGCCAATGACGAATTACGCAGAATAAACGATCCACAAAAGCACCTTCCGCTGCACGCACGCATACAGCACACAGAGCTACAGTGGCCCGGTGTAAATGCCCATAATCCCATGCAGGTCGTGTCATTGTGCTGTGGCCGTCAGTCTTACCCCGCCTCAGGATTCCCTCGGTGTTCTCAGCGGCCCTCGGTCCCGGTCGCTGTCCAGTGCTGAAACGACAGACCAGGCAGCGGAGACGAGCGACGAGACCCCGGACGATTACACAAGAACCACCTGCTATGGCGGCGCATCGGCTCGACCCCAGTCTCCCAAAAAAACCCTGCGCATTAATTGACGCTGTGCCTGGTGGTGGGGAGGGGGCTTCTAACGTTAAGCTCGCTTCTAACGTCGCGCTCTCATCTCCAAAACAAATTCGCCTTTGACAGATTAATCATTTTTTTTCTCCCCCGTACACCCCCCTCAGCTTCTTCTTTACGTCTTCTGCGCCTACTGGCTCCCCTCGCGCTGTATTGACGCGGCGGAGGACCAATGAGATGCTGGGGGTTGGAGAGAGGGAGGGAGAGGATGCGGAGGAACGCGGCCTCCCATTGGACGAACAGGTGCAGGTTAGGCCTACCTGAGCCCGCCCCCTGTTTACATCCGTGCCATTTGCGCCGCTGTGAGTCATGCGGCACGGCCGCGCGTCGCTGCAACAGAGGAGGTGGATGCGCTCCTTCAGATCCCCGCAGTAGAGGAGAAGAAACCAGCTGTCGTAAATTTCCCCTTCACTGCCATTTCATACATGGCACATAACAAGTCAGTATGTGTCGCCTTTGCTTCGTGCATATAAAGAAATAGCCGCATCCTTTACGACACTGACCACATTAAGCCTTACACATTAAGCCCAGAAAGCTTTGCTTTGTGTGGACACTAAAGTATTGGTCCTGTGTGGTCCTTGCAGGCCGAGGCTGGTAGACGCTTTCAAGCGGAAAGGACACTGTCATTCTGTCTTAATCTCTCTGTAGGACAACATCTGTACCACGTAGTAACACGTTTCTCTCTTCCACTGGATACATATATATTACAATATATATATTTGCTATCATGATATAATATGAGGACAGATCTAATTTACTTCTCCTCAGTTTTTTTGCAGCGAGACTGAAAATAAATCTGATACATGCCATACAGGAGGACGTAACAGTCAAGGCTCCTTGCACCCTCCTCCTCTTACCAAAGACAGTAAAATATTATTGATTTAGTCGGTATTTGCCCTTTTCATTATGGTCAGGCCTTCAAGGATACAGCTAATATTGTAGTGCGCTCAAACGTCACTAGGTGGCAGTAGCGACATGGACACTGAGTCAAGTTGATATTTCCTGGTTAGGGTCAGATTTGAGAACAAATATTCCACCTGCATTGTTTTATGTGAAATAATTAAAAGTGTTAGGCGATAGAAGTACAATTATATCTGGGGAAAAGTATAATTTAAAAAAATAATAATAAAGGGATAAAGGGAATAACTCAAGAAGACTGCATATTGCAATGTAAATCCTGTTTTGGCATGGCGGCCTTGACATTTCCTCTGTAATTAAATCAGTTGTCATGATTCTATCGAGAGTAATGCTGACATAAAAACTGTGTGACTGCTGCTCTGCATGCAGCTTGACCTCTTTGACCTTACCTGACAAGGAGAGGATGTGTGAGCGAGGGGTATCCAATAACATCAACATCAATGCAACACACTACTCCCCTTCTCATCTTCTGCCAAAGATCCAAAAAGATCCTGTGTCCTGAGGTATCTGGGGCAGGACGAGAGTCGGTCTCCAGGTCAGTCTTTAAGTTTGCAAAACACATGGGTGGGCCTGTTTTTAGACCAGGAACGACGAGTCACTTCACCACTGACCTGTCCACCTACAGGAAAGACACCATGAAAACGAGGCCTGAACTTGACAAGGCCCCTGTGTCATTCCAGGATTTTATTTACTAATGTGTCAGAGATGCTGGCGAGATATTTTCAAGGTGCATGGGCCAACTCATCTTGGGGTCTCGTACCTGAGCATATCTGGATTTCAAGCAGGCAGATTTGGAGAAGAAATACAACCTGATCTATGTAAAGAATAACTCTGGGAGAGTTTAGTTTAGTAAATGACAAATATACTGTGCTATAATGATACATAATCTATGGTCCTCTGTTGTCAAATCCAGATAATAAACACAAACATCATTGGTAGATATATTCAAATCTGAACTTAGATGTATCAATACAACTATGTCAAAATCACACTGTAAAAATGAATGAGGTGGCACAAATTAAAATACCTTAGTAACAATTTTCACAGCTTTTTGGAGTTAATTCAATAAGAAAAATGTTGCCATTTAGTTAACACAACACAGCATGCACACAAGTTCAAACGCTTTAATATGTTTGACTGCAAATAAATTATAAAGGCTAAAAATAAACAATGAATACGCATGTGAGACCTGTTTAAAAGAAATACAGGATGCTGTGCTGTTGTGTGTCAATTTGAGTGTGCATTTCTTTGTCATTGTAAGTGTATTTTGATTTAGAGGCAGATGGTGCAGTGCTGGTGGAGAACAGATTATTGGCTTCAGGTCAAAGGGAGACCAGGGAGAGTCGTCATCAACATGCTTGTCTCCATGCACCCCTCCATCATCCCCCTGAATCATCCATTACCCATGCTCCCTTGCAGCACTGTGATTGGACAGGATGGTGCCACATGCTCACCATGAGCTCACACAACAACACTACCGTGTCCAGGTTGAGTGGGATACCAGAACTCACTGTTTTCTTTCCTGCATAGCACAACAAGAAATCACAGACACTGAACTGCAGGTGCAGCTGCTGAATTTGATACAGCTTCAGATGTTAATCTGTCTCCAGGGAAGGAGCTCAGTTGACCTTATTGTCCTTTCCTTTCTCTCTAAACAAGATTACAAGGCCACTGAGATGAGCCGGGGAGAAACATACGAGCTCCTGCCATTTAAAGATGAAAACAGATCAGTGTTTTTACATTTTCAAGGTTGCACACACTATTCAGGGCTCCAGTGTTTGAGATGAAAAAGAAAATGAATTGATGCGTATTTCTCCATTTGAGCAACAGTCTCCCAGAAATCTTATTGTACTGCAAGGTCAATTCCTTTGTTTTGTTGCAGTAGAAGTCCTTTCATTTGTGTCTGTCTCTGGACTGTGATACCTTCACTCCTGCTCTGTGGAGGTTAGTGATGATGTCACTGACTGTGGGTTTCTTTAGCATTTTCTTCACAGCTCTCACAAGTTGTCTGTCGTCAACAGAGCCTGCTGTCCTCGACCTGCTCAGTTTCTTCTGCAGCCCACAGTTTCTTTCCTCTTTTAGGACATTCCAAAGTGTTGCGCAATGGCTCTGGTCACTTCTTTAAGACATCTACAGGTAAATACCAGGAAAATAAGCTGTCTCATATTCATACTTTAATTCTAAACCCAAATGTCCACATGGATTGTCTAACAGTTCCAAAAGAATGTGAGGGGGCCATGCTTTAATGGCGTAGTTGTTAAATCTTTGGCTGGTTTGCACCACAGCAACAGGCCCTGTCGTTAAATTGTCATAAATGGAAGGAAAACAGAGGCCCCATTACATGACATGCATACATTACATACTGCACAACATGCACTGTAAGAGGCTCTAAGGTGTTACGACCTATACTCTCTCTTGATGTGGTTAGATGTGAAACAATATTAACAGGAAATAAGATAATGGGTCTGTATCATTATCGTTATTTATAATTCTACATTTATTGTAAGAAGAAGCGGACGGCTGTTTGACCGCTGTTGTCTGCTTATTGAAACCTAACGACTTGAAGCCGCCGTTGCATCACTTCTTTCAGGGCCTGTTTATTGACCTCTGGATATTAATGGAAAGTGTGTGTGTACAGTTTAGGTGTTTGAGAGTTGGCAGCACCTTAATCCGAGTTTATAAGAAAGCAGATACCTCAGATAAGGGAGGTCCACTCTGTGGTGGGGACACTTACTGGACTTATAATGGGTGAGCTTAACAACCTAGGACCCTATACTACTCCCTAATCACACATCAATACATGAAACCTTTAGCAAAACCACAGACAGCAGAAACACAACATGCCGTTCATATCAACTTTTTACATATAGCATCAAGTGGGGTTAAGAGAGGCTCTCTTATAAGGCTGCCTAGGGATGGATCCCAGAGATGGAGCAAGTTTGAATTTTATGGGAGAATTCTATCAAGTTTCATGTAGATAATAACAAATAGAATATTTAAAATGGATAAAAAGATAAATACAAAAATAGTGAATCGATCTTCTTCATCCTGTAGTTTTGAAATGTTTTTTCTCATTAACATTAATATTCATGACATGACCACTTTACATAATGAATGATTATTATGTGTGTTGTGTGAAAAATTATAATGAACAAATGAATGAAAATTGATTCAATAATTTTAGACCATGGTCACCAGGAGAGGTGAAGAGCTTCGGGATCACAATAGGCAGGGCCTCAACAACACTCACATACACACGCACACACCATTAACAACAAATGGCAGTTTCTCAGGTATGAAAAGAGGAATTTACTGAGACTGTTAAATGTACATATTAAGGCGCTGGAATTGCACAACCCATACTTATAAAAACAATGTGCCTGCAGGGTGATGCTCCGAGAGGACGCGTTGTGTTTAGATGATGTAATGTCAGAACAGACTGAGACATGGACAGGGGCATTGCAACAGGATATCAGCCATCACCTGGGGCACCCGAGCTGAGAGGGGCCCCCCTGAGAATGATGATTACGTTAGTCCACAGCGACAACGACACATTTTTGAGAATCCCCTTAAATCTATGATCAGCTATTTACAGGAGACAGCAACGACGCCATTGTTGCAAACACCTTAATCTCTGGAAACTGATTCTGAAGATATCCGAAGAACGTATAGAATCAACCGGCAGCAATACTGACTCAGTGGAAAAAGGCAGCGAGCAAAGGGATAGATGGGACATTTTTGTAGCTTAAGTAGACCACCAAATTAGGCGGGTTTGCATCAGAATTATGGAGAGTGAGACATATCACATGACTGTTGGAGCGCAGCTCGAGGTAGCCGCCTGAACTAGCTCACAAGCTTCGCTCCATATATGAGGATAGTGGAATTATCTTCTCTTCTGTCTTTCAGCAAGAAAGTGAAAAAGCATATTTCCCAACATATTGAGCTAGACATGTTCAAAATGCTCAGCTTTGAATAATTTCAAAACTTTTTCATCAACACCTTTTCCCTCTCTGTAATGATCCCATGTTATGAGACCTTTACATCACTTCCTGTGAGGCAGAAAAGACGTACAGCACCAGACACAGACTGTTAAGTATGTTGTGTCAGTGTGTCTTTCAGATCTGATCTCTATGTTGGCAAATTATTGTGTTTTTCACAAAGGAACATTGTGGAACCGTGTCAG